CCCGGCTGTTCGGCGAAAAACAGGGGTTTACCCGCCCCGGGAGGCTGCTGCCCACTCAGCACCGAGGGGGGACGAAGCGAACCGCACGCTGCGTCTCCTGGGGACGCCCCCGGGAGCGGACACTTCCCCACACGGCCCAGCCAGGCCTGCCCCGGAGCGCGCCGGCTCCAACAGCCCCCAAGGGTGATGCTTCCCGTGTAACCAGTTAGCCCTCTACATCCCTGCTGCAGACAGTGCTCAGAGGGAATGAACAGACCAGGGAATTAGCAAGAGAGCCATTCCCTATCACCCATCCCTGCTTCTGGCAAACAGAGGCCAGGGACACCAGCCCTGCCCATCCTGGCTAATAGCCATTGATGGACCTACCCTCCATGCATGGATCTAGTTCTTTGTTGAACCGTGCTATAGTCTTGGACTTCACAATATCCTCCGGCAAGGAGTTCCACAGGTTGACTGTGCGTTGTATGAAGAAACACTTCCTTTCATTTGTTTTAAACCCGCTGCCAATTCCATTCCCTGCCCTCTAATCCTCATGTTATGAGACGTAAATAACACTTCCATATTCACTCTCTCTAATTCCAGTCACAATTTTATAGACCTCGATCAGATACCTCTCCCGCCTCCTTTCCAAGCTGAAAAGTCAGCGTCATTAATCTCTCCTCATCCAGACGCCGTTCCATACCCCTCAGCATTTTGGCTGCTCTTTTCTGAACCGTTTCCCTTGCCAAGATAGCCTTGGAGATGGGGGGACACGCCTGCGCGCAGCAGTCGGGATGCGAGTGTCCCGTGCTTTTCCGTATTTTTCCTGACAATCTCTCGCCTGTTCTTAATGATTCCCAACGTGCTGTCTGCTTGCGTGACGGCTGCTGCGCGCTGCGTGGACGTTTCAGAGAACTCTCGCCACGACTCTTTGAGCAGTAAGAGCCGACGGACACGTACATGAATCATGTTCGACGTCTAGGTCTGATTATGGTTTTCAGTGTCATTTATCAAGGTCACGTTTCATCTGCCATTTTGTTGCGCACTCCGTTTGGAGAGCCTGCCCCTCTCCACTCTGAAAACTGACCATTTCTTCCTACCCTTCGCATCCTGTCTTCCCAGTTACCAAGAGGCTCTTCCCTCCGATCCCATGACAGCTTCCTTTCTCTTCGGTGAGGAACCTAGTCAGAGGCTTTCTGGAAATCTAAGTGTACATGCAGCAAGCTTGGGGGTCTCAGCCAAGGTTGTAGCGGCCTCCTGCCGGCATCACCACAACTACCAGGCCCCCTCTGCCAAGAGATGCGGGGCCCTGGAGCAGCCGGGGTGCAGTGGGAGGGCGAGAGGGACCCTGCTTGCCACGCAGACAGCCCCAGGAGTCTCCCCTAAAGCGGCAGCAAAGCCAGGGAGCTCGGGGGACTCTGCTGAGAGCCGGCAGGCCAGGCCCACGCGCCCTGCAGAGCCAAGTGGGGGTGGGCCTGACAACCCCCCCCTCCCTGTCACTGGGTAACCGAGTCACCAGGATTTTCCATCCCTACCCTGGCGGGAAGGGCCCGGAGCAAGGGCTGAGAGGTGCGGACACAGGCCTGGACACACACAGGCAGGCAGGGGCCGTGCTGAGATCTGAACCCAGATCTCCTGTGCCCTGGGCCTGACCAGAAGCTGGGCTGGCCCGGCCCAGCCCGTCGCGTTCTGGGCAGGGGCCAGCATACCCACCCTGCAGCCCGGAGACATGCAGCTGCGTGGGCTGCCCTGGGGCTGGCACCTGGGCCCCGCTGAGAGCAGGGGACCCAGCCCCTTGAACCCTGGAGAAAGGCTAGGCAAGGGACACCCCTCCGGAGCAGCCGGCTCCAACCCGCAGACCCCTGGGGCCTCCCGGAGCCATGTCCTGGCCAGCCAAGAGTTGCTGTGACTTGCCCTTTGACCCCGTGTCGGAGGGTAACGGGAGGCAGTGAAGTTCTCCGCTGCCTGAGCCTTCGTTGGGGGTGGGGGCGCCCCGCTCCAGGGCACGCCAGGGCCCCGGGAAAGGGCTGGGACTCCATTCTAAGATGAGCCAGGCACGCAGAGGGAGGGAAGAGAATGACGCAGGCTGGCGAGCGCTGCCAGAGTTGGCAGTGGCTGGTGCCAGGTGGGAGAGCCCGGGAGTCCCGCGACACCCCAGAGGTGCTGGAATGAGGCGATGGCCAGGTACCCCGCAGGGCTCTAACCACCCAGCCAAAGGTTCCCCCCCCCCCTCCGCTCCTTCCCCAGGGCTCCCCTAGCTAGCGGACTCGATCAATTTGCACTGGCCTCCCCCAAGCATCACGTCTGGTCCCCCCCAGCTGGGCTGAGCGCAGGGCAGCGTAGCCAGAGGCTGGTGTGTTCACTTCCTCAGCCTTTCCAGGGCCGCGGCCCCCAGCGCACACAGAGCCGGGCCATTTCCAGCACTCCTAGAGGCGGGGGCTGGAGATTATTTAGAATCCTAGAACACTAGGACTGGAAGGGACCTCGAGGGGTCAAGTCCAGTCCCCGCCCTCATTTCAGTCCCTTTCTCCTGCTCACAAGGTCTCAGGCAGCCAAGGGGCTGGATCCCGGTTCTGGCTGGCCCCCGTGAATCAAAGCCCAGCCCTTTGCGAGGCCGGGATCTCCCTTCCTGCTCGCCCCCGCCCTGTGCGCCAGAGGATTGGCACGCTGGAAACGGAGCAAGGGACGCCGGAGGCTCCCAACCCTTCTCCCGGCTCGGAGCCCCAGCCATGGTGCTCAGCCCAGGCGGCTTCTCTGCAGCCTAAATCTCATTTCCTATCAGCTGGTTCCTGACTCAGCATGGCTGCCTGCAACAATTGGCAGCCAAGGGCGGGTGCCGGGCTGAGCAGAGTAGCACCTGGCACGCAGGCGGGCTGGGCAGCTGCCATGCAGCACGGCCAGGGCAGGGGGAGCCGTGCCAGCCGCTGTCTCTCCGGAGCCTCACTCGGGTAGGCCCCTGCGATGAGCGTTGCCCCAATTATTCACCTCGCCCGCAGGGGAACAGATCAGACGTAAATAAATCAGAAGCCACGAGGGGCCGGGCAGCCAGCAATACGTCATACGGCAGAGCCGCTGGGCACAAGGCGGGCAAGGCAGCAAACCTCTGCAGCCCTCTAGCTGAGCCCGGGGCCACTGCAGTGATGCTCCCCCTTCACTGCAGGGGACACTGCAAGCTACCCAGGCAGCAGCAGCCAGCAAGGTACCAAACCTGGGCTGAGCATGGCACAGAACCTGCCAGCCCGGCTCAGGCTGGGGGGGAGCAGAGATGGGCAGGGGCAGCAGGCAGGAGCTTGGGGCTTTTGCAGTATTCCAGCTCCCGGAAGCCTGTCATGCCACTGCCACAGGGAGGTTGTGAAATACATCTGGAGGAGGGCTCCCTGCGGCGGGCAGCAAGCCGAGTGTTAATCCACCGCCCAGTGATAGAAGCAGGCAGTGACTAACCCTCCCAGCGTCATTCACCACCCTCAGCTACAAACCCCACAATCTAAACACCACTCGAAGTCTGACGGCAAACCACAAGAGGCAGGAAATTCACAGGCGGGGGAGAACCGAGGCTGCGTCGCTGCAACTCCGCTGGGCACGGAGGTGAGCGAACACGGCACTGAACGGGGCAGTTCCACGCCTGCCCCCAGTCCTGCCTGAGCAGCGCCCGCCCCAGGCCCGCCCGGCAGCCTGCACCCTTGTTTACAGCAGCCTCTAGCACAGCAGGAGGGGACGGCGCAAGGCCCCGGACACCAGACCATGCCAAAGGCAACGAACGCAGCCTGATCACCGACAGGCCAGACGTGACTGTAAAACCACCCGCCCTGTGCAGGAGACACATTCCAGGCTTTGCTGGGCGGGAGAGCATTCCCCACAGCAGCCCCGCCCGCAGGGCCGGCAGCTGCGAGCTCCCCCTCAGACAGGACAGTTCGTCCCCCTGCCCTGAGGTTAGCACACCCAGCCACTGCTCCTGGGAGCCCCTCTGGGCACACCAAAACACTGGCCAACGTGGCCCAAAGAGCAGGTCCAAGCCAGCGCTGCGCAGGGACTGGCACGGCCTGCCTGGCGCAGCCCCCTGCAGCCCTCAGCTCACCAGCACTCAGAGCCACGAACCGCTGCAGAGACCTTCTCCAACAGCCCCAGCCTCAGTCAAAGCTCCGAGCTGAGCGCAGGCCCGGACACGCACCCTCGTGCCCCCCGGCCTGCAAACCACAGCTGCTGGGGCTGCCAGGGCAGTGGTGCGAGGCAGCCTCCAGGCTGGGACTAGGAGAGGCTGCCAGGAATTAACAGGAAATGAAGAAAGACCAGGAATGTTTCCAACCGGGGGAGGAAGGTGAAATCACAGCTGGACAAAGGTTACCAGGGATGTAAGCACGAAGCATGGGCCCCAGCCCCCCCACTTCCTGCGGGA